AAAACTTCTGATAAAATACCCTCTCCATCAGTGCTACCATTGTTCTTTTGAAGAAAGTAATGAGCCAGAGAGAACATGACAGACTGGAGCCCTGCTACTAACTAACACAGATTTAGCACGTTCTATGAAGCCAGGCTCTTGAGTTGACAGGTCTGAAAATTTGTCATCCCGTGCATGGGACTCCCTTTGTCTTGTCCTCTGCATCATGAAACAGTGTCACCAAAAGAGTGCCCAGTGTCACTTTCAGGCTAATGAAAGCTAGATCAAGAACAAAAATTCCTTGTTTCTTATCTAAATTTAAACTGGAAAATAAAATATAAAATAAATAAATAAAAATAAAGTATATGAAAATTTCCAGCATAAAAAAAAGAACAAAAATTCCTGCAGACTTCCCAACATAGCCAAGTGGAAGAACCTTCCAGAATGATCCAAATGGTCCTAGATGCTCTATAGCAGCAGGTCTTAGGTCTGCTTATTAAAACCTACCTAGGCCTAGTTCTTGACCATTGGAATCAAAATCTCAGGCTTAATGTGGCTAAGGGTGCTTGGGGAGCAGACTGTATTGTGTGATCACAGGAGTGGGAGAGTTGGATACCCAGGAGAGCCCCAGTTTACACAGACAACTTGATGGCAGGAATGCACAGGAAGAGTTTATTTCTCTGTGAACCTGAACACAAAGTTGAGCAGAGCTCAGAGATCCTCTCCTTGTCCTCTGGAGTCTCACTATATCCAGCATGGCGGTCTCTTGCTGTTCAGAGCTTGGTCCCCTTAAGAACTGTGCTGAGTTCTGTCAGCCTCCAGACCAGGCCTCACTCCACCCAACACAGCCATAAAGGTTGTCTTAGCCCTGGGCACTGGCACAAAGAACCCAGTTAAGTGGGTCCTTAACTTTACGTAGAGGTTAGTGGGTGAGAAACTACATGACAAGGAGTGATTTCTGGCCTGAAAGGTTGCTGTGTTGGAAGAATGAGTTAGAAAGCCAAGATGGATGGACAATTGGGATGCTGTGGTCTAGATGAGACTGGCTGACTGTCAAGGCCATGGGCAGCAGTGTTGACTGGGAATGAAGTGCAGGAGGGACAAGGGGAAGTGTCAGGGCCCTGAGCCCTGAGAGTGTCAGAGTGACAACAGCCACATGCTTGAGTTTGAATTGCTTTGAGAGCATCAAAAGTAAAATGTCAAAGCAGCAGTTTGATGCATCAAAGAGAGACCTAGTTCTAAGTTGCAAGTCTGGAAATGGATAATGTAGTCACTTAGTCAACAGATAATTACTCAGCACCTGCGCAAAGTATGGTTCTAGTTGGTTCTGCCCTGTAGAGTTTTCATTTTTAGGGAATAAAAGGAGCCAAGTAAGGGAAGGAGTCTGGGGTTGAGCCCTAAGAAGCTTCACATATGCTGGTTAGGCAAAGGAAGAAGCCAGAAGGGAGACTGAGAATGGCCAGAAAGGTGAAGGAAGTGGAGGTAAGAGAAGCGGGGAGGGGCAGCGAGGGAAGATGAAGCCTGAAGAAGATCTGAGAGTGGATGCCGAAGCCTGCTCAGCCACAGTGAGCTCAGGAGATGGGGACAAGACAGGGAAAGGGAGAAGAGAGAGCTTGGTGGAAAGGCTGTCTGCACGGTGGAGGAACACAGGCTAGATTAAGGTCAGAACAGAGTTGAAGACACCCTGGGAACTAGACCAAAGGACTGTTATGAGAAAGAACAGTAGAACCACAGCAGGAGGAAGGGGCTTCTGATGTCTGACTCCCTAAAGGATGTCCCTGTGGTCTGGAGAGGTTATCATCCCTCAGTACTGTGGGCATTTGAATCCAGGTCATTCTTTGTGGTGGAGCTGTAGGATGTTTAAACAGCATCCCCAACCTCTAGCCTCCAGGTGCAAGTAGCACCTGCCCCCACCTATTTTGGACAATCAAAAATGTTCAGAGACTGAGCTGGTAGCTCAGATGTAGAGCACCTGCTCAGTGTCCTTGAGGACCAAGAATGCACCAGTCGAGAGCCACTGTTAATCTGGAAGTGGCTCAAGTCAAGTGGCAGGAGCACAGTTGGTGAGTACATGACACCACTACAAACGGATTCTTCACCCCGTTGGCCAAAAGCGGAAGATCACTGTGTTGTTGGCTTTTGTTTGTTTGTAGTTGGTTGTTTTTACTCTTTATTCTTTGGGGGCCCACCACCAAGCTCCCAAATAATTCACACACAGACACTTATTCTTAATTATAAATGCCTGGCCTTGGCTTGGCTTGGCTTGTTTTTAGCCAGCTTTTCTTAAATTATCCCATCGACCTTTTAGCTCTGGGCTTTTTCTTTTTCTTACTTCTATATATCTTACTTTCACTCTTAACTTTGAGACTAGTTGTGTGGGTGAGCAGCTGGCCCCTAGCATCCTCCTCTCCTTGTTCTCTTGCTCCTTGATCTCTCTTGCTTCCTAATCCCTCTTTTTCTCCTTGTATTTATTCTTTCTGCCTGCTAGTCCCACCTATCCTTTCTCCTACCTTGCTATTGGCCATTCAGTTCCTATTAGACCTATCAGGTGTTTTAGACAGACAAAGTAACACAACTTCACAGAGTTAAACATACACAACATAAAAGAGTGCAACGCAGCCGGGCGTTGGTAGCTCACGCCTTTAATCCCAGAACTCGGGAGGCAGAGGCAGGTGGATCTCTGTGAGTTCGAGGCCAGCCTGGTCTACAGAGTGAGTTCCAGGACAGCCTCCAAAGCCACAGAGAAACCCTGTCTCGAAAAACCAAAAAAAAAAAAAAAAAAAAGAATGCAACGCATCTTTGCATCATTAAATAAATGTTTCACAGCATAAACAAATGTAACACATAGTATAATAATATTCTACAACAGCATTGGGTTTTCCCCCCATGGAAATGGACATGGAGATTGAAGCAGATGTGAGATAGAACTCCCAGGAGCCAGAGTGTCCTCACATGAGTAACAGTGAACTTCTTGTGGTTTTCCAGACTGCAGAGGTGTCAGCACTCTTGGTGAGCAGTCCTCATCTGGTAAACTCAGGGAGCCAGTAGAGAGAGGGCTTTGGAAAAGGTAGGGGTAGCCAGCTGGCTCTCTGGAGGACAGAGCTGCCCTGGGTTTTCCATGCTTCCTAACTGCAGACTGAGGTCTTGAGCAGAAATGCAGGTGGCATGGATGTGCTTGGGCCTCCTCCCTACCTGAGACTCCATGAAGCTGGTAGCCAAGCTACTACCTGTTTCTGTTTACAGACTTCAGGTCAGTAAAACTTTGCTGGGAATGATAGAAATTCTCGTTTTTGCTTAAGGGAAAGTGTGCTTAAGAAGCAATGTGCTTGGAGTTGGGCTGCACACTCCTCACTGCTAATTCAGCACCCACTATGTTGTCCCTCTGGCGTAGCTGACAGAGCTTGGAACCTCAAGGACTCCTGGACATATGCATGCTAAGGAACCTGGGCCAGAACTATGGTCCCAGCTCCTCAAAGGACTCGAGAGCAGGGCCATGGGTCATCTCTCGTTGTCCTCTGAGCACTCGGAATATCCAGCATGGCAATCACTTGCTGTTCAGAGTTCAGTTTCCTCCATAACTGTGCTGGGCTCTGAGCGGTCATCCAGGCCAGGCCTTACCCCACCCAACACAGCCACAGAGGGTCTCATCCCTGGTACTGGTACAACAGTCCTTCACTAGGATCGCTGCTTGGCCTTAGCTCTAGTCATCCAGCTTTCTGCCACCATGCCCCAAAACCTGTACCTGAGAACCTGCTGCCTCCCAAGCCAGTGCCCAGCCACTGCTGACCAACCCCCCAAGTCACTGTCTCAGACACCCAGGGTGGACTCTGAGGGCACACAGACCTGCAACTCCCTCCCTGTACAAGACATTAAGGCCTTCGATGAGATGGGGGGCTGTCATCCTGCATCTTTGTTTTATATAATTCTCTTCTGCTGATAGCTTTAAAGAGGGAACATATTCAAACTGGGTACTGTGATTCGCAGCTGTTATCCCAGCACTGGGGAAGCTGAGGTAAGAGGATTGCTGTGAGTTCAAGGCCAGCCTAGGCTACACAGTGACCTAAACAAGCATGAGCCCCCCCCCTCCACTGGCTCAGTCAGTAAAGTACTTGGTGCTCAAGCACTGGGGCTTGAGCTCATATCCCAAAGCCTATATAAAAACAGGGCATGGCAGTGTGAGCGTGTAATTCCTGTGTTAGGTGCGGGGACATAGGTAGATCCCTGGACCTCACTGGCTGTCTGGATTAGCCGAACTGATTGAGCTTCAGGTTCAGTGAGTGACCCTGTGTTAATAAATAAGTGTGGAGAGCACTCAAGGAAAGACAGGGGGTGTCGACCTCTGGCCTCCTCGTGCCAAAAAAAAGAACGGCGGGAAGGGCTTGCTAATGGCACGCACACTAACGGAGCCGCAGGCCTGATGAGGGACACAGTGGTGGTTTCTCAACCCCCCTCCTTCAGCTGTCCAGTTGTCCCTCTTGGTCCCTAGTTCTGCACACTGATAGAGATGAAAGATTGCTCCTGTGAACAAGCTAGAAGCTATCATTTGTGCAGTGGTGTGTTTAGGGCCCAGGGCAGCTGCCATTGGTGGGAAGACAAAAGGCATCCAGAGCTCTTGGGAAAAATAAATATCTAGTGGGCCCTCAGCACTGAGAGAATTTTCTTCAGTCTCCTCACCCCACACTGTTCCCAGACTGCACCTGATGTGGAACCAGAGGCAGGAATGGAAGACCAGGCCTCAGTGTCCACCCAGCTCCTTACCTTGTGGACATAGTCATTTAGATCATGAGTTGAGATTGAGGGAGCCAGTGGTGCCAAGTCCTCATCTTTCAGCCAGCCTCACAAGCCCTAACCTACGTCTAGGCCCTTCCCTTGGTTTGGTTGGAGGAAGATGGCACACATGGAGCAGGGTACCCCAAACTTGCCCACACACCCTCAAAGCCTAAGGAAGTGTGTGGCATTTGGAGGAAGGCTTAGATTCTTATTTGGGTTGCTCTTACTATGATGAGACACCGTAACCGAAAGCAACTGGGAAGGGTTTATTTGGCTTACACTTCTACATTACAGTTCCTCGTCAAAGGCAGTCAGCAGGGACTCAAACAGGGCAGGAATCTGAAGGCAGGAGCTGGTGCAGAGGCCATGGTGGACGGCTGTTTACAGGCTTACTCCTTTAAAGGATTGCTCAGCTTGCTTTCTTATAGAACCCAGGACCATCTGCCCAGATGTGGCTCCACCCACAATGGGCTGAGCCCTCCCACATCAATCACTAATTAAGAAAATGCCCTACAGGCTTGCCTACAGCCCAGTCTTACAGAGGCTCCATTGAGCCTCCACCTTTCAGATGACTCTAGCTTGTGTTAAGTTGACATAAAAACTAGCCTGCTAGCACAGGTTCAAATCCCAGTTCCTCGAAGTTGTAACCTTTGTAACTATGTGGCATGCTTCCAAATCCTTCCTGCTTTGTCTGTGAAACGCAAATGTTAATGGTGCCCGTCTAGCCATTCTATGATGAGATTGAGTCAGCTCGAATGGGTTCCAGCCCCAGTACTGATGATGTTTGATGAAGAAAAACTGCTCTCCAGTCTCTGACATGAGCATGGCTTCTTCCTGTGAAGAACAGGAACAAGCTTCATGGGAGAGTAGGATAATTAAACCTTGTGTCCTAAAAGCCCTGCCCCAGTGGCCAGGGCACCCAGCAGTGCCCAGCCCGGCCCCACTAAACCAACTCTGCCTGAAGTAGGTGTTGGTGTGCATTGCCCTCCTCCGGCGTCTTCCCACCCTCCATGCTAATGCTAGCTGAACAGATCCAGGCCTTGTCTGCCTGTGAACCACCCCACTTATACACAGGAGAAAAGGAAAGGAGGGAGAAAAGCTAGCCTCTTTGATAAGCTGTGATATGAACTCTGCCGTAACCCAACAGCTGTGATCTTTACAAGCCCGCTTCTGTGCTGGGAAGTAGCAAGTCTGAAGACACTCCACTCTGCCTGCCAACAGGGCCTCTGGCCAGCCTCCTTTGGCTCCATCAACTGCGAGTTTTCCCCCTCCTCTTCCTCCCTGCTGCCTTGCAAAGAGCACTTGCCAGAGAATGCTTTCATTTTTAACAAGCCACTGTGTGCTGTGAATGCAAGGCCTGCAGCTCGACTGCCCAGTCGATGGTAGATAAGTCTGGAGCACCCTCCCAGGGACAGGGGCGCTGAGGTAGGTATCTGGAAAGGATGATCCAGGACCCACTTAGGAAAGGAACAGTCATGAACCTTCCTTCCATGATACCCATCGTGAGGCTTCGTTCTAGTCCCTCTCTCCCCACCCTATGCTCCTGCTAATTAATACTGCCTCCCCTAGTGCCCTGGGTTCCCATGTGAGCCTTTGTGTCATGAAGAGAAGGGAGTTGATTGGCCACTGAGGTAGGTGGTAGAGCTGTGCAGACTCTAGGAAGGAGGGTGTCAGGAGAAGCCACTCTTTGATTCCATAACTTGGAAATTCCACTAAGCAGCTCATGAGGGTTAATCCGCCCTCCTCCAAGCCCAATTCTGTCATACCCCAAGGATCCCCCAAGTATTACCCTAGTCTCTAGAGTCCCTTTTCTTAGAGACACCCTCCCCTTCAGCCTGTATATCTTTGTAGTTGTCATCTCATCTGTTGGGGTCATGGACCAGGACCCCAAAAGCTCATTGTACTATGCTGATAGAAAACAAAGTGTCAAGGCCCGCTGTCCTAGTTAAACTGGCATTTCAGAAAAGCATGCTTGCCCCCTGGTGCCCGCTTCTAAGAGTGGTCTAAGGGGCATCAGTCAGCTCTCTTCCAGCTGCCCTTTAATGGGTTGCCTTCACTTGCTCAAAACAAAAATAAATTACCACAGCAAACACACACCAGTCTGAATCTGCCTGCAAGAGAAGATCCTGACCCTCCTACTGGGATTGCAAGTGGAATTTGATCTTTTATTAGTTTGCAGCCCTATTGAGTGGGTCCCCAGCTGAGGAAAGGAGCCAGGACATTGAACAAAACTGGAGGAAACCTCGTAACGTCTGACACCCTGCTCAGGAGAAGCTTCTCTTCTTGCCAGCTTTAATTAAAGTCTGCCCAGCTCCTTGTAGGAATTTTCTAGAGCCTTCCCCATTTGCCCCTCCACCCACCCAGCTCTGGGCTCGGGAAGTGATGTTTTTGTTTCAACTCAAAACAACAAAGGGGAATGTTCAGCAGAATACACTTTGCATAACCAGCCCTCAACCTCAGATTTAACTGAAAACAATTCTGTGCCAGTGAACATGGCACACAGACCCAGGAGTCCAGTCTGACACACAAAGGTAAAAAGACGCCTCATAAAGACCAGCATGCAGGAACCCTGAGCCAAGTGACCAGCAGCCCAGCCTAGAGACTGTCTGGAGCTGAGACCATCCTGCTCCTCTAAGCAGTCCCCATGCCCGGCATACCCACTGGCACTCCCTGAGGAGGGCTGTCTTTTTGTCTGGAAAATAGAAACCACATGTGATGGGTCTTATGAGGCCAGTCTGGGATTGATTAGGTCCTCCTGGGGCCTGTGGGGAGGAGCAGAGCACTGGCCTGAGGAAGCGCCCCTCTCTGCTCTGAGCAAGGCTGTGTGTGCAGAGGTTAGAGACCACAGGTGAGCAGGCAGAGGGAGGCCATGTGTCCTTCAGGGTGACCCCTATTACCACAGCCCAAATTGCCAAGCTCCCCTAAGCCAACTGTGTGTCACAGTTTCCAGGAGGCCCTGGCAGGAGGGGAAGATTAGGCAGCAGATTGGTGGGAAAGTTGGTCAGCTTCGAGCCCACTCCATGGATGTGCAGTAATGGGCTCCATTCCACAGCTGTGGCACCTGCCTGGCCCCCATCCAGCCTCCCACACAGTACCTACCTGATAGTCCATACACCTGAGATCTCAGCCATAGCCCAGGCAGCTGGCAGCACTGAGGGTGATTCTAAAGAGTGGTTTTCAGGAGCTGAAAACTTGACAACGAATTTCACTCTGAAGCTGTGAGCTTGTTTCCAGATGGACTTATAAAACTCTGGATCTGTTTAGAATTTACCTAAGTGTGCCAGGAAACTTACAAAGTTTTGACACTGGTAAGTCAGACAGCTTGGTGAATTAGCAAGCAACGAAAATGTATCCTAGTATAGAATCTTTAGAAAAAAAAAGTATTGGAATTGGCCCCTGGAAGTCATGTTGCATCCTTCTGCCTTCCTCTGCATGAGAGGCAGGACAGACAAGTGGGGTCCTTAGTTTCCAAGGGCAGCTTGTGAACTCCTGGAAAGACAGCTCCGGATGCATGCAGTCCATTGTGTGCTGCGCTCCTCGGGAAGCCTCCCTTTTTTCCTGATATCAGGTCAGCACACGCTTCCTGGGGCTGCCTTTGAGACAGATCCTTATGGGGCTGTCCCTTCTTGTCCCTCATGTGATTGCCGTTAGCACATAGGGATGTCACAGAGTCCCCCACACCCTGGGCCCTGACTTTAGGAGGGTTTCTCTCATATGCATGTGTGAAAGGCCTCTAGACCAACTGCTGCTTGCAGAAAAAGAGAGGCCTCACCTTGGAGCATGGGTGATGACCATTGGAGAGGCTTGGCTGGGGGGAGCTGGGGTGCCAAACCTGCCTCAGTGACCAGAGAAGGCAGTCCACAGGGAAAGTCAGGCCAAGTACCTCTTCATACTGTAGCCTAGGAAGGCCCACCAAATAGGCCCTTAGGATCTGAAGTGGACAATTGGACAGTAAATTTCTATAAAGTTGATTGCCTCAGCCCTTGGGGAGATTTTAAGCTTTTGGTCTCTTGTTGTCATCATCATGTGGTTGCTTTGTTGTTGGTGATGCTTTTTTAATGTCCCTATAACAGTAGAGCACTTACCCCACCTCCTCCATTCTTAGGCTTGGGATATGATCTGCAGTGGTATGGACCCCACAGCTGAGGTTTCTCTCCAGATGTGGGATCTTGTATACAAGAAAGGGAAAGTGTTCGTGAGGATAGTGAGATGTTCAGAAGCGCCGTTCATGAACACCAGCAGCCAGGCTCAAAGACCCTGTGCTCCTCAGTGCTCCCACTAGGGGCTTTGTGCTGCCTACAGCACTCAAAAGGCACACCTGGAAAAACCAGAAAGTACGTGTTGTCCTTCCCTGAGAAGTGCAGTAACTGTCCAGACCTGAAAGCCCATGTCTCCTCATTCATTTCCATACCAGGGCCAGACTCGGTATCAGCTAGACCAGCTCCCTTTCCACAGAGCAGAGGATGATTCTTGGAGAATGGCTGGCAGGGAGTCACCTTTGGCAGAGCCATCATGCTGAACTCCTCCAGAATCCTGTGAGGATCTTAGCTCTCATTCAGAAGCAACTCTGCTCTTATAGCACCCCCCTCTTGTCAGCCCATAGAGCAGTCCACATAGAGACCCCCTGGCATCACTACCTTCAGTCTGTCTCCTAGGCCCTCCGGCTCTCCACACTATTCCACCCCACTCCCTGTCTCTGGTGAGCCAGATTCGTTTCCTTGGACCTCCCTGGCATTTTGACAGTGTCTCTCTTGGTCAGAATCTGACTGTTGCTCAAGGGCACACATCTCATCCCCCTGGCTTATCAGGATGGCTTGAGTCCTCGACATCCGCCCCTCTCATTTCAAAGCTACGCTGAGGTGAACTCAAGGCGAGACTGGTCCTCTCGTGTTTCTTCTGGGCTCCATCAGTTACATGTGATGTGTGCTTTCAGCCTGGACTCTCACTCTTGCCTTCCAGATACTGCTTTTTCAATAGCAAAGTTTTTGTCTCTTTCTCCACACCCTGAACACAGCCACAGCCACACTCTGAGTTCCATCCACATTTGTGCTTTACCTAAAGCCTTGTCGTCAGCAAATTCATGGCCTCAGGCAGATTCTTTTACACTATACCACTGTATGCCTGGCCGCTCCTGAGAATCCCCAGCCCTTCTTGCTGCCCCTAAGAGTATGATTTGGATCTATCCTGTGCCACCAAGGTCCAGCTTGATTTTTGCTTGATTTTGCTGTTTCTGGTAAAACCACCCCCTTTCTTAATCACACTTTTGCCTCAGTTATGTGGATTGGTCTTTCTTCCCTCTCCTGCCTGTGTAACAGCCTTCCCTCCCTCTGCTGCGTTTCCTTTGTGAGTGTAAATTTTAAGAAAGATATACTCCTGAAAGTACAGGAGCCAGCCATGTGGCACATGCCTGTAATCTAGTACTTCCTGAGTTCAAGGCCCACCTGAGCTATGTAGAGAGACCCTACCTCAAACACAAAAAGTGCATAAACCATGAGTGCATTATGGGTCAGCTGATTTTTCACTAGTTGTCCCATTTATATGAGAAATAGAGCTCTCTAGCACTGCTCAGCCCTTCATGTGTTTCACAATATCTGCCTCCCTACCCTTTCCCAAGTAGCCCCTCCCAACTTCCTGGAGGTTCTGAACATCATCTAGTTTGCGTTCTCTTCTAAAGCCTGGCTTCTCAGTGGGGTCTTCTACTGTGTGAAAATGCCATAACTTATTATCTTTTCTAATATTAATGGGCGTATAGGTTCTTTTCAGTCAGTACAATTCGGAATAATAATGCTGTGAATGTATGACCTTGTGCATTTTGGGGGGTACATACATACATACATGCATGCATGCATACACACACACACACACACATATATACACACATTCTTATTAGGTTTACGCCTAGGAATTGTGGGGCTGCAGGTGAACGTACATTCACAGTTCTAGGAGAGTATAGAGTGTTTGATTCTAACCATTCTGGTACATTTGTACTCTTAGCCACATTGTCCTAAGGACTGGAGTTGAACAACTTCCCACAGTTTATTTGCCTTCTGGATATCCTCCTGTGTGCGTCTGCTCATAGCACTTTCCCATTGGCTCTCAGTGTTTTCTTACTGATTTGTGGGAAGGTTTTTATGTGCTCTGAATCTCTGAATCCAGCTTCTCCCCATGCATGCACTGTGATCACTCGTTCCGTGGCATGCCTTATCACCTTTAACATCTAGGTGATGCACTTTCCTGTATAGTTGGCATGTTTAGTGATTTGTATGCTTTCATGTGGGTTGAGAGGCTCCTAGAATCATCCATTTCCAGCTTATTCTTGTGAGGCATTCCCTGTGAGCCGGACACAGCTCTATCACCTGAAACCCACAGGCATTATTTATTTGCTCAGACCAAGGACCTGGAGAACACCTAATCAGCCATGATCATAGACATGATCACCACATCATGTAGCCATCGTATTTCAGAAGGCCATGCTCTAGAGGAGACCCCTGACTGCTGTAGACAGTGGCATGTGTTTCTGGTAGTGGCAGGAGTGGGCTGTGGGGTTCTGGGGGAGAAGCCTAACCAATCCCTCACAGAGTAGAGAGCAGCAGATCTCCAAGGAAAAGGAACACCTTATTAGAAGGTGCTGGAAGTCCAGAAAAGATACCTTCCTGAATAGTGTTCTTTCTGTACAATTCTGGCCATGCTAGAAATTGAACCTGGGACATTTCATATCCTGTGTGCTTTCCCACTGAACTACTCCCCCAACCCTGAATTTGTTTTGTCTGTACATGTTCATGAGTGTGCATATGGGTGTGGGTGTGTATACTCTGTAAATGGAGACCAGTCCTGTCCTCTCAGCACCAAAGCCTTCAGCAGCTGACCTAGGCTTGAGTTTCATTAGACCAGTGTGACCAGAGAGCACCAGAGCCTTACTGTCCTAGCAGGGGCCTTTGCCCACTCTGCTGCAGGAAGCTGTGTGATCATCCTGTGCCCAGATGAGGAGCTGTTTATGGAACCAGAAGCTAAGACAGTAGACACTGGGGAGGCAGTCCCAACAGACCCTGTGGTTTGGATTTAATGCCAGTTGCAGGGGAGTAGAAACAAGGCCAGTGAGAGCCACTGTGGCACGGCACGGCAGGACTTCCCCTTGTAGAGTGCAGCCTTCCCGCCAGCCTGGTTCCAGAGCCGCATCAGTCCCAAATGAACACACAGGAGGCTATATTAATTATGAAGCTGTTGGCCTTGCTTGGTTTCTTACTGGCTATCTCTGACTTAAGTATTTACTCCATAATTGTAAATCTAAGTATTTCTCTTACCGGAGAAAGGGGTCCAGACCTCTTACCCCTATGGCAGCTACATCGTGGCTCTGCCTCTCTTTCCCAGAATCCTCCTTGACTCCTAATCCCACCTATCTTGCTTCCCTATTGGCCCACAGTGCTTTATTCAACAACCAATAAGAGACAGATTTCAGAATGACATCTCCCATCACCCCTTATTTCCAACAACCATGCACTCCATCCCTCCAAGAGAGCAAAGTGGAATAAAGTCATATATGTGACCCAGAGGACGCCCCCCCCAGGCACAACCTGGAAGCAGGCTGTAGAAGTGGTCAGGGGATGTAGGCAGCACACAGGGAAGACCAGTGCCTGCCTTCACTGACGTCACCACACGTGTTAGACTGCAAGCACTGGTGCTAGCAGAGCCAGCTTCATTCCCCTTTCCACATTGAGCCCCCAGGCCATTACAGAAGAAGGTGCCACAAGAGTCTCAGGCAGCCAGCGGCCAGAGGGGTCCTTAAATCTGTGTGTGTGTGTGTGTGTGTGTGTGTGTGTGTGTGTGTGTGTGTGTGTGTGTACAGGTTCGTGCCTCCCACGGCGTGTATGGAGGTCAAAGGTCAACCTTGAATGTAAGTCCTTGCTGTCCACTTTGCTTTTTAATCCAAGCTTACTGGCCTGTAGGAGTGTTGTGATTACAGATGCATGCTACCATCCAAATTCAGGTACTCATGCTTGCATAGCAAGCACTATACACTGAACCATTCCCCCAACCCCTCAGCCAGGTTCTTTAACACAGCCAGGAAGCTGAGGCTCTTATTTTTAAGTAGCTACTTACTTGTGCTGCCTTTATGTAGTGCCTGGAGTGAACCCTCACAGCCCTTCCTCCATGGTCCCAGGAGGGTGTGGTGTGCAGCAGCGTTGCAGAGAGGTTAGAGAGCCTGGATAGTTGGAGAAGAGTGCTCACCTCACTGGAGGCGGGGTCAGATTCCCTCAGTAACGCCATCTGTTCCATGAATACCCAGCCCCCACACCAGCTCTGAACTGTGGTGTCCACCTGCACCACGGTAACCCTAGTGGCGTAGGTGGACAAGTGTCAAGAGAGAAATGCCGTCCAGTGTTGTGACTGTCTGAAGGTGGAAATGCTGCTACGGTGCAGCTTGGGGCAAGTAGGAAAAGGGTGCCTGCCCCGCAGCTTCCACAAAGCCAGGAAGCTGTGACCTGGATCTGATGTTTTCTCAAAGCATAAAAGTGCCCTAGTTTTCCCTCTCCTCGGGCTTCGGTGAAGCCGTGCCAAGATTGGCTTTTAAAGACTGCCTGAAACGTGGTTTGGAGCCAAAAATCTATAGAGCCAGTGCATTTGTGACCTTGTTGAAAGTGCTTACTGAGAAGAATCATGGGGTGCGATGGGGGTGGGGCACTCCTTTTATAAATTTAAGGAAAAAATTATTTGGTCCATGCCCACTCCCACTCCCATTCCCACCTCTTTCCCACCTGACTTGACTGCAGCCTCCCAGCATCCATGTCTCCCATTCATCCAAACCCTTCCCCCACCGCCAGCCCCTCACCATCCCCCACGCATTATCAGTAATGAAAAATACCAATGGGTAAAAATAAGGAGCCCAGTGATGGCCCTGGAAACTAGGCCACAGCTGTCAAGCCAGGCAAGAGCCCTCGGTCTGAGAACGAAACTGTTAGGATCAAGTGCCAAGGCGTTCCCCGGCTCTGAAAGGGCCCGAGAGAATCTACCTGACATCCGGTAAGGTGCCACTTGCTGCTGCTGGCCCAGAGAGCACCTAGCAGCCATTGGTCACTGAGCAGGCCTGTCCGGTGTGCTCTCCAGTGTCAGGCCTGGTGCCCATTGCAGTGAGCAGTGCTCGTCCCTGCCCTCGGGCTTAGTCATGATCACAAGCAGTGGCACCACAGTATGATGGTACGCTGTGGGAGCAGATGGGGTGGGGGTAGGGTGCCCAAGGGTAGAAGAGCCCAGGAAAGCTTCCAGAAAAAAAAGTCTAAGCTGAGCCACGAAATGTCTGTAAGAACTCAGTGGGAGTGGGAAAGCAGAGGTGCTCCTGACCCTGCTCCGGACTCCACAGGCTGGAACCCAAGGCCTCAGAAGGACCTGTGTGTGACTGAGGGGAGAGGGAATCTAGGTAGGGCAGGGGAACTTGGTGCTTTACAAGCAGCCCTACAGTACCCAGTGAGCCACTAAAGGGCTAGAGCTGTTCAGAAAAGCCCCTCCACCTGGATGGGGTGTCTGGGTTCCCAAGAGAATCTGCCACCTCACAGCCACCCTGAGCATACAGGATGGGCTGTAGGCATGCAAGAGGCTGTGCCTGAAATGAATAATTGGCTTCCTTCCATGTTTCTAGAACTTCCAGTGAAGCAGAAGGCATGTGGGGCCCAGAGGCTGCCCGGAGAAAATTGAAAGAAATGGAGGGGACTCTCATCCATTGTAACAGCTGTAGCCTCTCACCCCACCCCCTGAGTACACCAGCAGAGGTTAGTCAGGACGGTGTTGCAGTCAGCTTGCTCAACAAGGAGCCTTGCTGCATTCTAGACAATTCTGTGTCTTGGTATCTAAACAGATCATCTGAACTAAGCTTAAAACTTTGGTACCCAGAGCTGTGGCACCCCTCAGTTCAGGGATGCTGGCTTCAGTCAGTTCATTCCAGGGCCCTCTGAATTTAGACTTTTCTTCACCCAGTCATCTCTCCTGAGGAGAGCCCGTTTCCTTCCTCTCCCATGGGCTGAGCCCTTCCTTTCAGATGAATGAAGGTCTGCCTCTCCTTTCCTGAAGGACCCCCACCCACCTCTGTCGGAAGCCTGGCCCTAACAGTTGGCGAGTCCCGACATCCCTTCCTTCCACCTGCCCTTGAAGCCTGGCTGGCTGTGCCAGTCCAACCCCTCCTGCTTCTCCTGACTCCCGCCCTCCCCACCCCCGCGGCATCATAATCCATTTCTTGCGTCTTCACTGTGTGCTTCATGTGAGAGCACTCCATTTCCTGAGCCTCCATAGGAAAACCTGTCTGTCCTTTCTTTTCCTGGGGGAAGCCCTGAAGAAGAGAAATGACTAGTCCTTCCATCCCCTCCTGATTCAGGAGTGGTGTCTAACATAGAGGGCAAGTCTCCGGCCACTGGAAGTCTAGCTCCTCAGAACAGTGACCTGGGCTTGGTGTCATGGCTGTCAAGTGTCCCCTGTTTCTGACTTGACTCCACAGATAAGTTCCTGTAGTCACAGCTTTGGGAAGTGGGTCACCGCCTATTTCATCCCTGTGGTGTCTCTTCATCATGGACAACCAGGGTCCCTTCTTCAGGCTGCTGACCAGTGTCCAGGCGAGGAAAGACGGGCACTAAGATGTCGAGCAAACGAGGAGAGGCACTTCTAGTCACCCCACGGTCTGTGGCCTCGATGTCACCACCTGTGACCTGAGATTATCCCACCTGCCACCCACTCAGAGATGCCCCCTTACTCTTAAAATTAAGAGAGATTGAACAAAAGTAGAATTTAGTTTTTCACGTTTTCTCTGTATGTTAGGTATGTTGGGCATGGAGCGTGGAGGTTGGAACAGCGTGCGGGAGTCAGTGCTGTCCTTCTCCTGTGTAGGACCAGAAGACAACGGGGCCATCAGTTTGGGCAGCAAGCACCCCATCTTCTGAGCCTTCTCACCAGCCCCAAAGTGGTGTTTAAACAGCACCCATGAGGGTGGCCTGCTCTGTTAGTGGCAGTGTCACACACAGTAATAGCCAGGACGCTTGTATGAGGTGGGGTGGCTGCTCCCAGTGAAGATGGGGCCTCACTTCCATTGATAAGACTTTCCTTATTTCTTAAATTCCATTTCGGGAGACAGCCTCCCCTGTAGTAGGCTCCCCTGTCTCCATGTGGAGCCTGGCCTTTTTTCCCACTCGTATTATGCTAATCACTCCTTGCAAACAGGCAGACTTTGTAGGAGGTTTGCCTGGTTTTAGATGAAACATACGCCTTTGAAGCAAAGAGCCACAGTAGCTAAAAATACCATTTCCCGGCTGTTGATCCTCTCATTTGTAAAATGCATGTTTCCATTGTTAAATGTGCACCAGTCCCTCAGGAGAGGGAAGCCCTGCCACCAAGTCACCCAGCCAGGGTCCTGCCACCCACTGGTGAGGCGCCACCTTCCAAAAGTACTGCTCTAGGGCCCTGCCTCTGACAGTTTCCCCAAGAGAGCCCCCAGATTCTCAGCTGCCTCGGGCTTCTCCCCAGCCCACCACTACACTAGCCATTGGTCTCAGGCCTGCAAGTCCGCTACCACTGAGCTGTCTTCATTTGACACAAGCTCTCCCTGAGTTACCTGGACTGGCTTTTAATGTACCGTGTAGCTCAGGCAGCCTTGAATTTGTTAGACACTGCCCTGAACTCTGAGATGGAGTACAGTGGCCCTCAGGAGAGGGACCCTTTGAGGAGGTCAGACATGTGGATGTAAAACCCCTATGTTTTGAGTGTATACACCTTTAATCCCAGAACTCAGGAGGCAGAACAAGTGGATCTCTGTGAGTTCAAGGCCAGCCTGGTCTACAGAGTGAGTTCCAGGACAGTCAGGACTACACAGAGAAACCCTGTCTCAAAACCTTGATGTGTAGCTGGCTGCTCTCTGCTCAAGTGGGCAGCAATGGGATCCTGAAGGGAAGGGAGTCACTCCCCCTCCTCCCTGGCACAAACCCTGCTCGTGGGAACCTGATCTGTAAGCATGTCCTGGGACCAACGTATCTTCCAGGGTGAGTCTCAAGGGCACCTCATGACTAAGGTTCTTCTTTGTTCTCATGCACTCAATCCAGTGAAGGCTTCCTGGGCAGGGAACATTTGGTCCCAAAGCCTACTTCAAACATCTTAAAATTCCCTGAAAAAGATGATCACAGAAGGAATGTTTCCAACCTTCTGCACTGGTAGTAAGAAAACTTTCTTTTTTGGCTCCAGATACCTGATGGGTGGTCACACACACACACACACACACACACACACACACACACACACACACACACACACACACACACACACACACCATGTTTGTCTCACCCTAGCTGCTGCTCTCTGCTGCCCTGCTGGCCATTTCAGACACTGAACCTGTTACCATTTTCCAGAAAGCTCTGCAGTGTGGCTGCTCTGATGTTTGTTCTTTGTTGCCAGTAGTGGGAATTAGTATTTAACTTCCTCTTCCATCTTCCATCGCTTATTCCGTGCTCCCTTAGTGGGCACTTGTAACGAGCCACAGAAAACCATCTCCATTCATGAAATCTCACAGAAGCCTTAAACTAGACATGTGAAGCCCAGAGACTCTCCGGTCAGTACAGCTCCTGAAGAAAGGACTGCTACCATCTGTGAACGTCAGATGCAGCCAGAGAAGCAGGAACAGCAAAGCCAGTGCAGCGGCTGGCTCGCTGATCTTACTTCCCCAGGGAGCTGGTGCCTCAGGAGGTGATTGTAGTCATGAGGCTGACAGGAAGCCACTGCCTGAGGTGAGGATGCCAGGAAGAGTCCTGGGTCTTCCTGAGAGTTGGTCTCATTGTCCTTCTCTGAGAACAGAAGACAGGGCGATACACAGCAGGCAGAGACCAGCAGAGAGGAGAAGGGTGCAGTACCACGCAGAAATGAAGACAGAGGGTCTGGGGAGGGGAGGGTGGAGCCTCTGCCCAAAGCTCCAAGGCCGAGCCCGGCTCTACAGCTGCACAGTCCCTGATAGTGCTGGTAAATCCCCCATGTTCTCCCAAGGTGGCATTGCTAGTGCCCAGAGCAGCCACCCTGATGGGCAGGTTGAACAGTACCTCTCAGGCCTGTTCTGGAAGCTTAGCAATGCAGAACACAAGCCCCCAGAGAGGGGGTCTTAGTGCAGGTCTGTGGAGAGCTCCAGTATCGTAATGTGTCTTCCTAGCTTGAGGAGCCCACCAGAGTGGGTGAGGACAGTGATAGGACCAGACGTGGTAACTTTATGTGGAAAGGTATCACCGGAAGTCAAAATGGCAGGCCCAGGTTAGAACTCAGAATACACTGAATCCTATGGAAGACATGTAACATGAGCAAGTATCAGGATCCCTGTGATCACCTGGACCCACAGTTACAAGGCTGCAAGGCCAGCATTTG